AGCAGCTCTCCCTGAAGAAAGAATAAGGAAGACACTTCTCCATAACAAGTGTGGTTAAAGACTGGTTGCCTAAAGGTGCTGTTCTCCATCTTTGGAGAACTCAAGAACGTCTGTAGACTCCTCCACAAAACTTGTCAACTTAAGGGAGGTGAAGAAGATTCAGTTTCGCCATATAAGAACCAGAGAGTAGCGGAAGAAAACAGAAAAGTAAACAAACCACCATCATCTTTTTCCTAAGCATCAAAAGACTAGCCACTTTTGCTACAGAGAGTAAGCATGAAAGTAAGGACACCTACCGCCAGACAAAGTGTGATAGCTCTCCTGTGTCTCACTGATGGAAGAACGAGCTATAGCATCCAAGGAGAATTCACTTAGAATGTTTTCTGCAACTGAGAGGGCTCTTGACTATATAAGACAGTGAGAAAATGCCTCCCCCATTCTCTGCTGCCACTTCCTTCTCTTTTAGACAACTACTCTCAGGCAGAGCACTGAGCTCAGAATCCCAACAGAATAAAGCACCTATTGCCACGTTTAGAGTTGAGTGCTTTTGTCTGCTGTTTCTTACTGGATGACAACTGCCTACTTTTGTCTGCAGGAATAATGAAACAACCTATAGAGACAGCCATGCAAACTGTACATATAGCTGATAAGAGAAGCAAACATTTATAAGGACTTCTGATAGTTAAGACTACATTAAAATACATATTTTTCAATTAATTTCATCTAAGCCGTAAATATTGTGCTGTAAACTTCCTATTCAAATCACTTACTACATTATTCTTGTGCAATTATCAACCTCATCAGCAACTTCTTCTCCCCCTATTCCGAAAAAAATATTATTAAATCCAGTCCTTTTGAGCTTTCCCAATGTTGAAGTGTGAAAAATACTGTTGTATACCCATGTATTAGAGTTTAAAAAATAAGTCCAGTAACAAAGTTCTACACATTCACTAACATTTAAAACATTGTCTCTAGTTTCTCCTGGAACTGAAATTAATTTATCACCATTCCTCTCCACCTGAAACACTGCATAGAAATAACAACAGGATACTCTGCCTTTTCTTAGTTGTTCTCCAACCTTAGCCAGGAACTCATGCCATTTTTCAGATCACTTTTTTCCAAATGAGTTTTTTAAAACCATCTGTATAGACCACATCCTTTACTATTAAACTGAATGATAATCTTCCATTCACTTTTGTTGTGCATGGTTTGCATCCAGACAACTGGCCACAGATTTATTACTCACTTATTTTAATTTTACTTATAGAATTTACAGTAATTACTAACAAACTCTTACTACTGCCACTGAATTGCTTATACTCAATTTACTTTTGCTTTCATCTCACTTTCAGGATAACTTTAACTGGCGGGGGAGGCACAAATGTTTTTGTAAATGCAGGTACTGTCATCTTGCAAAATGTTCTTAAAACTTTCCCTATCCTCAGAATTTTCTTTTTTTTTCTTATTTGACTTACTATTTCTTAATCTTTGAGAAGGTGGCCATTTTACATATGTGCTTTCTCAATAATAAAATTTTTACTAGATGATAATGCCTGGCTTATTTAAAAATAAACTTAGGCTTTAGCTTAAAAATAAGAAATTAAGAAATGTATTATCAAGATTCAAATCAGCCATTGAGTTTGCCTGTTTCTGTGTATT